ATTTAGAATGTAGCTGCTTTAAGGACTTGTGACTTCCAAGACTTGTCAAAACAACAGACACCATTACTTGTCAAAATTTGTAAGATAAGTACTCTTGCACAGTATAATCGTAACTTGGTATAGACATATTTGTGATATCGCTTAGATTAAGCCTGCCAGGGGAGTGAAAGTTACCTATACGAGTACTGAACTCTACATTAAAATGATTTATGCTCCTTACTGGGAAACTATTTTTATTTCCAGATCACATAATTATTACATACATCCCTTAAAAGGGCCCAATTTGAAGTAACATATTATAGAGTTCAATTTTCACATTGTTGTTATTTTTACGGGTTCTTCTTTCTGGCGATGGAAAGTTCAATTGCTTCTCCCTATTATACCTAAACAATGTAGGTCTATTTTCTTTTTTCCCATCCACAAAGTGACAACTACATAAGTATGCACCAGGACCTGGTTCAACTGTTCTCCTGCAATAAATAGTAAAAATAAGACAAAAGTTCAATCTGAAAATCCCTATCAAAGAACGGTAGTTCATGTGAATAGCAATATCTAAATACAGCATTTTTTAAGCAAGATACACACACATTAGCGGATCGCTCAGTTACATACCTGCTTGTAAACTAACGGCCTTATTTTCAACAAAATTGTTTTAAAACTCCACTTTAACCACTTGATACGGAAGAAGTTTTCTCAAGGTGTTTATGTTTACTTTTTTTTTAGTTTTACGGATTTCCTTACTATGATATTTAGGAATTAACTTTCAGAATCTTAATTTTTCCTTTCATTATGTTGTAGATGCACACATCTCACAATAGGAGTTATTGAATTTTAATTTTAAAAAAAATACATTTCATTTTCCAGGTTAGAAAAAATTACCTATGACAATGACATTGACATTACAAAACAGAAAACATATACACTGAAGAAAGCATAGTCCACTGCTATCCGTAGACGAACACGGTTGACATATGTCAGTGTCAAGCGCCATTTTTTTGCAAGTCGTGTTATAGCTAGATTTATGCGACGATCCTCATATAAATCTAAGTCTGCTATACAATTTGCTACATGGAAGATTTTATAACGCCATGTATGGTATTAGAGAGATATTGCATATGGACCTAAATAAGGGTATGCATTATTTAGGTGAACCTAAATAAGTACAGTGGAATTAGAGATATTGCACATGTAACGTATTTTGACAGTTCGCTTTGATGGTGTTTATCTTAACCTCACTTTTCCTTCCAGTTTTTGCTTGCATAATATAGGTGGTTCGTAGTTGAAATTCTACCAAAGGTGTGAGAAGTGAGATTGTAAAATGGAAGCTGAATTGGAAGCAGTTATATTGGCAGGAGCAGATGAGGAGGAAATAGAACATATCATCCTCCATAATATATTTATTGATAGAGGCATTACTCATACAGCACAATTCAACTTGGAAAACTTGCCAGATGAAGTAATAAGACTAAATTTTCGATTTGAGAGGTCTGACCTTCATAGGCTGATGGCTGTTTTACGAATACCTTCAGAAATTGTCACTATCACACGTAATAAAGTGGATGGTATGATTTTGTTTAAATATTTATTGCTATATGTTCATCATTTCAATCGAACTCCATCCTCTGACTCAAACAACACTTGCCAGAGGCTGGAATTCTATCAACATGAAAACCACAGTATAAGTTCCATTTATCTTCTTTCAGGTTTAACAGCATTGTGCATTCTACTAAGACGGCTGGCATATCCAAACAGATTGTGTGATATGGTCCCTATGTTCCACTTGTCAACTCAGTCTTTGTCACAAATCATAAATAAATTGATAAGTGTGATTATGGAGGAGCATGCTGTACTTCTCAACAATTTGAATTCATTGCAGTGGTTTAATAGGGAGAAGTTGGAGTATTATGCACAGGTATTGTATTGTGTAATATAGTTGAAGTGATGGTTGGTTCATAAAATGCTGAAATGTGCTTTTTGTAGGCTATTCATAATAAAGGAGCACCTATGAATAATTGTTGGGGTTTCATCGATGGTACAGCAAGGAAAATTTGTCGACCCTCTGAAAATCAAGAAGAGTATTATTCAGGACACAAAAGGTATCACTGCATAAAATTCCAATCAATAATTTGTCCTGATGGAATTATTGTTAGTTTGAAAGGCGCATATCCGGGAAGAAGGCATGATGCCAGAATATTTAGGGAGTCAGGTATCTCTGAAGAATTAGTGCAAAAGACATGTTTTGACACAAGACGATTTGTTTTATTTGGTGATCAAGGATATGGGCTGAGTGATGTGCTATTTACCCCATTTCATGGCAGAATGGAAGATTTACCTGCCCATCAGCAGAGTTTCAATTCTGCTATGAAAGTTCTAAGGATAGCAGTAGAATGGGGTTTTCAGAAAGTCATATCAGAATTTGCCTTTGTAGATTTTTCAAAAAACCAAAAAATGCTACTTCAAGACGTTGATGCTTTATACAAGGTGGCTGTACTACTTACTAACTGCCATACATGCCTGTATAGTAGTCAGACTGCTATGTATTTCAATACAAATCCACCTTCACTTGAGACCTACATAGGCCACTGATAATAGAGGACATTTTGGGTTTGAAATACTCGTTTGCTTTCCATCGCCGCAGCCAAGACCAACCGCAGACAGCGCTGTTTCGGGCTCTTTAGCCCTCATCAGTATGGTATAGGTCTGTATCAGGTCCAGCCGTGAAGGCGGACAAATGGAAAGTAAACAAGCGAATGTGGTCTATCAAATAGCGGGAAGACGGTAAATGTAAAAGATGGCTCGCGCCATCTAAATTTCGCTAGAACTAGTTTCTTTGCAATGGAAAGCAAACGAGTATATCAGACTATATTATTGCATGTTCTGCAGAAAATGCTATTGTTAGTTTGTCCTGTGAACGCCTTGCGTTACGACTCTGGTGGCCGGCTACTGTTGGTTGGTACCGGGGTATCTGTACTCTGTACAATTCATCTGAGTCAGCGACCAGAAATCGTAAGGGGTTTCTGCTTTGCCTGCGTCGTCATTGACGAAACTTGCAAAGAAACTATCTCTAGCGCAAATTTAGATGGCGCTAGCCATCTTTTACATCTAAATTTTGGGTTGTTTCTAACTTGTAACGCTTGATGATAATTTGTAATTTTTTATAGACTTGTAAGACCAATAAAGCTTGTTTGGAATGTATGTTTATTTATTTTACAACCATAAGGGCAGCAAGCACCCAATAAGAGATTTCAAAACTAAATTAGTATGTTGCTGAAAATATATGAAATCAACTTCTTCAGGAGTTGTGGATGAAATATGTTTGATCCTGAAGTTACACAGTTTTACTATGTTCATACATGGAACCAGTTGCAGAATCAATTTCATATATTTTCGGCAACAAACTTGGTTTGTGCTCACCATCCTTAGCATCAACATTATTATTTCAATATAAGGCCAGTATATTTATTTTTTTAATGGCAAATTATCTATTATCAAGTTTTGTCAGTAATGCTTCAATAAGCTTTTGTGTGTTTTGATGAGGTCACTCAAGTTTTTTCTTTCAGCGACATCTTGCTCAGATTTCTTTTGTTCTAACTCTATCCTATGTTTTTTTTCTTGAATTTCTGCCTCAAGCCTTTTAGACTCCAAGGCAAGTCTTGCTTTGTCATTTGCAATTTTTTCTTTTTCATTATCCATTTTTTGTTCTTCTAACTTGAGTTCTGCAGATCTTATTTCTCGTGATATTTCCGCTTTTTCTCGTAGGTAATCAAGGCCATTTTTTCTCAATGTTTTACTTTTGTTCATCCTTTTGGTACGGGGGGCTGTAATGATCGAAAAGTAAGTAACAGCAACAATAAAACAAATGTATTTAATCTTGAACATGAAATGTAAGAGGTAGTTTTGGCTTTCTGTTTTATAGGTAATGTATAACATACTAGAAACTACTTATCTAGTAGTAGCCCTCTGAATGGGATGCCATGGCAATGCTATATACGCTGTAGTCATCTGGATCCACTATTTGGTTAGTCGGGCCTGTAAATAAACCCGCAGTGCTAACAAAAGAAGTTCACTGACAGGTTTAGTCATTGCACTGGCTTTTATCAAAGTATATAACATAAGTACCTACACATTTTATATCGAGCACGGGTTTTATTTACTGGTCATACTCCATAACCTGTGGAGCTGTTTTAGTGTTTCTATTACTGAAGATTCAAGCAGTAATTCTAATCATTGTTTACCTGATATCTGTTTTGCAGTTCCAACATCTTGTACAGATATCTGTTTTGCAGTTCCAACATCTTGTACAGATATCTGTTTTGCAGTTCCAACATCTTGTACAGATATCTGTTTGTGCAGTTCCAACATCTTGTACAGATATCTGTTTGCAGTTCCAACATCTTGTACAGACTTATTATATTTTCTGTGTCAACGTCGACTGTAACACAAACACCTAAAACTGTGATAATATAGTAATATGTAGAAAAATGTTTAGAATAGTTATTTTACCGTAATCATGGCGATTAAAGTGTCATCCACATCAGAAAGGCCAGCAGTGCCATAGCCTCTCTTCATTGCGTGTCTTTTCAATCATATCTTTCGCTTTGTTTTCCACTTTTTTCTTTTTTGCTGGTGTAGTTGAGCAGGTCTCTTTCATTAACTCGCTGGCTTCTTGGAGCATATGTTCTCTTTCATTATAGACTTTCTTCTATGCCAGACCTGTCAAACACAAATGTTGTTTCACACAAGTCTTACATTAAGCATTCTCTTGTTATTAAAATACATGTAGGTACAGTGTGCTATCTTATACTTACTTGACTTTGCTGTTAACCTCCTTTTTGAGGAACAGCTCCAGAAGATGGTTCAGATGCTTTTTATTGTTCTCAAAATAAATTCTTTTCCCGTAAGCTCTCGCAAGTTCTGTAAGATTGAGTCCCACTTCTCAGGAGAACGGATAGGGTTTTTGTGCAATAAATTCACGCAGCAAATCATTTCGTCGTCATACGTGAACCTTATTCTCTTTTTATCCTATTCATAGTTACCAAAAACGCTTCAGCAATCGGTGAATTTTGAGAGTACAAATTTATAGGTTAAATAGGCTTGCGACGACACCCGATTTGCTTAGATCGTGAATCGTCGTGACATAAGAACGCCTAAATAAGCTCCCCCTATTATAGCTTAAATAAGGACGTGCCTTATCCCTATTAATTCCTCATAGATACAGAATTGGTATGTGCGCATGCGTAGATGTCAAAATAAGGTCTGCAACTAATAAGGCAGATGTTTGCAATATCTCCCTATTAACAACAACACATGCGACGTTGCCGGCATCTCACATAAATCTGAGTCTGTTATACAATTGTATACAGGATATTTTCAATGCTATATGGAAGATAACAGACAACAGATAACAGGTAAAAGGTGGTAACAGGTAACAGGTGGTAACATATAACAGATAACTTATAACAGATAACAGATAAAAGATGACAGATAACAGATAAAAAGTAACAGATAAAAGAAAACAGGTAACAGATAACAAATAACTGATAACTGAAAACTAAAAAATGAAAACTGAAATCTGAAGAATGAAAAATGAAAAATGAAAATTGAAAATCGAAAATTAAAAATCAAAAATCAGAAATCAAAAATCAAAATCAAAAATCAAAAATCAAAAATCAAAAATCAAAAATCAAAAATCAAAAATCAAAAATCAAATCAAAATCAAAAATCAAAAATCAAAAATCAAAAATCAAAAATCAAAAATCAAAATCAAAATCAAAAATCAAAAATCAAAAATCAAAATCAAAAATCAAAAATCAAAAATCAAAAATCAAAAATCAAAAATCAAAATCAAAATCAAAAATCAAAAATCAAAATCAAAAATCAAAAATCAAAAATCAAAAATCAAAAATCAAAATCAAATCGAAAAATCGAAAAATCGAAAAATCGAAAAATCGAAAAATCGAAAAATCGAAAATCGAAAATCGAAAAATCGAAAAATCGAAAAATCGAAAAAACGAAAAATCGAAAAATCGAAAATCGAAAAATCGAAAAAAAAATCGAAAAATCGAAAAATCGAAAAATCGAAAAATCGAAAATCGAAAAATCGAAAAATCGAAAAAATCGAAAAATCGAAAAATCGAAAAATCGAAAAATCGAAAAATCGAAAAATAGAAAAATCGAAAAATCGAACGAAAATCGAAAATCGAAAAATCGAAAAATCGAAAAATCGAAAAATCGAAAAATCGAAAAATCGAAAATTCGAAAATTCGAAAATTCGAAAATCGAAAAATCAAAAATTAAAAATTAAAAATTAAAATGAAAAATGAAAAATTAAAAATAAAAAATTAAAATTAAAATAGAAAAATGAAAAATGAAAACTGATAACTTATAAAAGATAACAGATACCAGATAGCAGATACTAGAAACCAGATACTGGACACCAGATACCAGACACCAGATACCAGATACGACACCAGATACCAGATACCAGATACCAGACACCAGATACCAGACATCAGATACCAGACATCAGATACCAGAAACCAGATACCAGATACGAGATACCAGATACCAGATACCAGACACCAGATACCAGACACCAGAATACCAAATACCAGATACCAGACACCAGACACCAGATACCAGATACCAGACACCAAAACCAGATACCAGACACCAGATACCAGATACCAGACACCAGATACCAGATACCAGATACCAGACACCAGATACCAGACACCAGAAACCAGATACCAGATACGAGATACCAATACCAGATACCAGACACCAGATACCAGACACCAGATACCAGATACCAGATACCAGATACGAGATACCAGATACCAGATACCTGACACCAGACACCAGATACCAGATACCAGGTACCAGATACCAAACACCAGATACGAGATACCAGATACCAGATACCAGTCACCAGATACCAGACACCAGATACCAGACACCAGATACCAGACACCAGATACCAGACACCAGAAACCAGATACCAGATACGAGTACCAGATACCAGATACCAGACACCAGATACCAGACACCAGATACCAGATACCAGATACCAGACACCAGACACCAGATACCTTATACCAGACACCAGAAACCAGATACCAGATACGAGATACCAGATACCAGATACCAGACACCAGATACCAGATACCAAACACCAGATACGAGATACCAGATACCAGATACCAGCCACCAGACACCAGATACCAGACACCAGACACCAGAAACCAGATACCAGATACGAGATACCAGATACCAGATACCAGACACCAGACACCAGATACCAGATACCAGACACCAGATACCAGGTACCAGACACCAGACACCAGATACCAGATACCAGACACCAGAAACCAGATACCAGATACGAGATACCAGATACCAGATACCAGACACCAGACACCAGATACCAGATACCAGGTACCAGATACCAAACACCAGATACGAGATACCAGATACCAGCCACCAGATACCAGACACCAGATACCAGACAGCAGAAACCAGATACCAGATAAAGAGATAACAGATACAAATACCAGATACCAGACAGCCAGATACCAGACACCAGATACCAGACAAACCAGATACCAGACACCAGATACCAGACCCCAACCAACACCAGATATCAGATACCAGACACCAGATACCAGATACCAAACATCAGATACCTGATACCAGATACCAGATACGAGATACCAGATACCAGATACCAGACACCAGATGCCAGACACCAGATACCAGACATCAGAAACCAGATACCAGATAAAGAGATAACAGATACCAAATACCAGATAACCAGATACCAGATACCAGATTCCAGATACAGATACCAGACATCAGATACCAGATACCAGATATATGATTCCAGATACCAGATCAAACATGTCAAAGGATAGAAAATGATTAGAGATAGGGATAAGTATATATCGCTAGCATTGCATTAGCATACCAGCAACTGCGCTACGTGAGGTTTTAAATAAAGACATCAACGTACAATATTTGGCATAGCGTTAGCATGCCAGAAACTGCGCTTATCGATAATATTAAGCGGTGATCTTTTGTTCGATTTGGTAGTAATAGGTATAATTGGTAAGGGTTCGGAAAATTGTCGTATGACGTCGACGCGGTTTTTTCCGTTTTTTTCCCGGTTCGCGAAACGTTCGGAAGGAAAGCGATACCGTTTCGGAAAGTAGAAACTCGGCGCTTTACCGGGAAGCGGGAGCCGTCGCGGTGAGAGGAACGGATCGGATCGAAAACGGCCGGTAAAGTCGAAAAAACCGTAGATTTTCGTTCTGTCCGACGTTCAACATAGGTTTCCGCCGAAGATAAAGGAGCTGCGAACCTGGCGATTTTTGCGCGAGAAAGCCCCGGCTTCGGGCTCAAAGATAGCGGCTTTCTTTTTTTTCTTTATGCCGTTTCGTTCGAAAATTTTCGATTTTTTTGATTTCCTCGACTACGCGCTACTTTCCGATTTTTCCGGTTTTTTTCCGGGTTCGCGGAACGTTCGGAAGGAAAACGATACGTTTTCGGAAACTAGAAACTCGGCGCTTTACGGTGGAGCGAGAGTTGTCGCGGTAGGAGGAACGAACGCGATCGAAAATGGCCGGTAAAGTTGAAAAATCGGTAGATTTTCGTGCCGTTCGACGCGCTTTTTCTATCTCCTCCGAAGATAAAGGAGCTACGAACCTGACGATTTTTGCGTGAGAAAGCCCGGACATCGGACTCAAAGATAGCGTCTTTTTTTTTCCTTTATCCCTTGTTGGTCGAAAGTTTCGATTTTTTAAAAAATTGCCCGACAACACGCTACTTTTCGACGCGCGAAAAAGTCACTTTGTCATCCGGCTCTGTCCCTCGCCTATTACTACCGTACGTGGGCGAGTAAAAATTATACAGCTATCGAAATATAACGATAATGAGCTGAGGAAACGATTCTGACCGTTAGAATTACCGTCAAATTTCGAAAAAGTAAACTTTGAGCGCCTCAAAAGTACCGATGACAGCCGTTTTTTCGGCGTACTTTGTCTTCGTCGATACGGACCTGCGTTACGGAGCGACGTAGCTACGATTTTTTTTCGCAAAACGAAAGACCAAAGTCTCTGATTAAACTGACATATGACACGTTACCCGATCGCATTTTTTAAACTCGGCAGATTAGAAAATTCAAAGATATGCAGATATTTTTAGTTTGAAGTTCAATTTTGAATTTCCCCTCCAGATCCCCAGATTCCTGTTAGGCGGGGTAATGTAGGTATAATCGTATTACGAAAGCGAGCGAGTGCGAGCGGAACGTCCGAACGTGCCATTTTCGGCTTTATGTTGGTCGATTCATCCGAATATTGGAATCACGCCAAATAGAATTGTCCTTTTTTACGCGTGGAAATCAACATTTTCGAAAAGATTCAAAATTTCTATATTCATAGTCTAAACGGACCGGACTATAGCCATTATTATAATGATAATCAAGTATGCCTTGGCACGATGTAATTTTACCGGCAGCTAAGCATTTAGGCTTTGACGTTTAGCGATTTGTTTACAAAAGTCATCATCACTTTCAATACGATAAATATGATTGTAAAACCCTAATGAGTGGCATAATTTTAGATGAACGTTTATATGGATCCCATCCTAAAAAGGCAACAAGTCCACAATATAGCAAAACTTTGTGCTTATAGCAGTGTGTCTTGCAAGGTCTAGTGGTGCAGTGTTTTTTCGGTTCAGACGACGTACCGCAGTGTATCTATAGATAATTTAGTTCATCTTTCAAGACGTTTGAGAGCGGTTTAAAAGGTAGCCTTATTAATCGTCAGCAAATTTAAATGAGGTAAAATTTTTCATTCCTGTCTTTTACCCCCAACTATGTAGTGGAATCGGGTGTGACGGTTAGCAATTTGTAGAAGTCATCATCAGCTTAAATACGACAAATATGATTGTAAGACCTAATTAGTCCCAAAGATCAATTCCTGAAGAGACCAGAAATCCACAACATTTGAGCAAGACTTTGTGCTTATAGCATAATATAATAACAAATAACAACAGTCTAGTGATACCCGGTGCCTAGTGTATACAGTTTTTTCGGTTCAGACGAAGTGCCTCAGTGTATATCTATCGTGATAATGTATTTCATCCTTGAAGAAGTTTGAGAGGTACCCTTATTAATCGTCAGCAGATTTAAAAAAGGTAAACATAATTTTCATTCCTGTCAAATCATAAAACATTTACACTGAAGAAAGAACGTGCTATCCTTAGGCGAACACGGTTCACATATGTCAAGTGTCAAGCGCCATTTTTTGTAAGTGCGGTAGCTAGACATGCGACGTTGCCGGATCCTCACATAAATCGGAGTTTGTCATACAATTTTATAGAGGGCATTAATGCTATATCGAACATTTATAATGCCATTGTGTGTTATTTATGGTGACACATGCGACGTTGCCGGCTCCTCACATAATCTGAGTTTGTCATACAATTTTATAGAGGGCATTAATGCTATATCGAAGATTTTATAAGGCCATTGTGTGCTATTGATGGTGACACATGCGACGTTGCCGGCTCCTCACATAAATCTGAGTTTGTCATAAAATTTATAGAGGGCATTAATGCTATATCGAAGATTTTATAATGCCATTGTGTGTTATTTATGGTGACACATGCGACGTTGCCGGCTCCTCACATAAATCTGAGTTTGTCATACAATTTTATAGAGGGCATTAATGCTATATCGAAGATTTTATAATGCCATTGTGTGCTATTAATGGTGACACATGCGACATTAAAAATGAAAAATGAATGAATAATGAAAAATGCAAAATGAAAAATGAAAAATGAAATATAAAATGAAATATGAAGAATGAAAAATGAAAAACGAAAAATGAAAAATGAAAAACGAAAAACCAAAAACGAAAAACGAAGAACGAAAACGGACAACGGAAAACGGACAACGGACAACGGAAACGGAAACGGAAAACGGAAAACGAAAAATGAAACTTATAAAAGATGACAGGTACCAGATACCAGATACCAGATACCAGAAACCAGATACCAGATACCAGACACCAGTTACCAGACACCAGACACCGGATACCAGATACCAGACACCAGATACCAGACACCAGACACCAGATACCAGATACCAGAAACCAGATACCAGATCCACATACCAGATACTAGATACCAGATACTAGACACCGGATACCAGATACAGAAACCAGATACCAGATACCAGACACCAGACACCAGATACCAGATACCAGATACTAGATACCAGACACCAGATACCAGACACCAGATACCAGATAGCAGATACCAGAAACGAGATACCAGATACCAGACACCAGATACCAGATAAAAAGATAACAGATACCAAATACCAAATACCAGATACCAGATACCACACACCAGATACCAGACACCACATACGAGATACCAGATACCAGATACCAGACACCAGATACCAGATACCAGATACCAGACACCAGATACCAGACACCAGATACCAGACACCAGATACCAGATACCAGACACCAGACACCAGATATCAGATATCAGATACCAGATACTAGACACCAGATACCAGATACCAGATCCACATACCAGATACCAGATACCAGACACCAGACACCAGATACTAGATACCAGACACCAGACACCAGTCACCAGATACCAGATACCAGACACCAGACACCAGATACCAGACACCAGATAGCAGAACCAGAAACGAGATACCAGATACCAAATAAAGAGATAACAGATACCAAATACCAAATACCAGATACCAGACACCAGATACCAGACCCCATACGAGATACCAGATACCAGACACCAGATACCAGATACCAGACACCAGATACCAGATACCAGATACCAGAAACCAGACACCGGATACCAGACACCAGATATCAGATACCAAATACCAAGTACCAGATACCAGATACCAGTAACCTGATACCTGATACCAGACCCAGATACCAGACACCAGACACTAGATACGAGACACCAGATACCAGACACCAGATACTAGACACCAGATACCTGATACCAGACACCAGATACCAGATACCAAACACCGACATCAGACACCAGATACCAGACAACAGACACCAGACACCAGATCCCAGACACCAGACACCAGATACCAGATACCACACACCAGATACCAGATACCAGACACCAGATATCAGATACCAGACACCAGATAAGAGATAACAGATACCAAATACCAGATTCCAGATACCAGATACCACACACCAGACCCGATACCAGATACCAGACACCAGATACCAGACACCAGACACAAATACCAGATACCAGACATCAGATACCAGATACCAGACATCGGATACCAGATACCAGATACCAGACACCAGATACCAAATACCAGATACCAGATACCAGATACCTGATACAGATACCTGATACCAATACCTGATACCAGATACCAGATAAAGAGATAACAGATACCAAATACCAGATACCAGACACCAGATACCAGACATCAGATACCAGACACCGGATACCAGATACCAGATACCAGACACCAGATACCAAATACCAGATACCAGATACCTGATACCAGATACCAGATCAAAGATGCCAAAGGATAAAAAATGATTAGAGATAGGGATAAAGTTATCGCTAGCATTGCATTAGCATACCAGCAACTGCGCTACGTGAGG